GCATTAAATGATACCTCAAAGTGGCTTGTTTGTTTTACCTATTAGTGTGGAGATTTTTTCAAGTAATTATTATTTATTTTTCTTCTCGGGTTTTTTATTTTTCTTATCAATTGCTTGTACATCCCTAGTAGGAGTTTCTTTATGTAGATATGAATAAAGTCTTCATATGTAACATATATTTAATGTATATTCTTTCTTCTACGAGTGTTCCTTATTCAGATTTAGCATCAAACTCTTAATTTCGTCTTTAAGATTCAGGGTAAATAATAACTCTGTAGCCTTATTATTTAAAAAGTTTGGTGTTGTATGAACAGTCAAAAGTATATATGAATGAAAACAGAGTTAATAGGTTTCCAAGCGCTCTACACTTAGGGAATATATCCATAAAAGGGATTAAGGCCTGGATGGACATATCCATATCGTGCCTGGTGCTACTGACACCCAACCTTGGCAGTGAATTCATCCTTGAATTGGAAGTCTAGGTCTGAATATTGGCTGTGCCATTTCCTAGCCATGTGACCTTTGGCAAATATTTTAATTGGATGTTTTCATATATGTAAAAAGGATTAAAGTGTCAGTTTAAGAATTATGAACACTTAAAATATTTTTGATACATTTCCTGGTACACAGGTAATATCCATACATAATCACTTTTAAATACCATTTTTGCTTTTTAATATGGACTTTTCTTCTTTTACCTTCATAGTATCTCCATGAGACACACGGTATTTTCTCCATTTTACGAGGTTAGGAAACTAAGACCTAAAATGTTTAAGTGACTAGTTAATGTTACACGACTAGGAAGTAGGGAGGTTTGGATTTGAAGACAGGCACTGTCTTAGAGAGTATTACCTCCTAAATGCTGCATAAAACATTTACAATCTCAGTTCTGTGACTTTTCTATCACTATTCTCACATGGCCAGTGAGAATGCTAAGCCCCATTTTATGCTGTGTAAATCTTACCCGTTCTTCAAGAGGAACCTAAATTCACACACCTCCATGAAGATCTTTGCAAATCCTTTCCCCCTAAGTGATTTTGGCCTCTCCTACCTCACCATAGTAGTTATCCACAGCAGTCTTACAGCTACTTAAGGTGCTCAAATCATATTATACCTATTTGCCTTAGATCATGGACTTCCCGGAGATAGATTATATTTTTCTGATCCCTTCCCTACATATAGTTCAGTAAAGTGCTTATAGTAAATATCCGACCAATATTTGTTATATAAGCAAAAACAGGTAATAATAAATATTAGGTTAAAGCCAAAAGTATTATATGAAAAGGAAATGAGACCAATTAAAATATCCTCAATCCCATTTTGAATAAAGTCAACAACTCTTAAACAAAATATGGACAATTACATGCCAAAAATTTCTTGCTAGTTTAGCCTACAAAGTATTTAATATATTTCATATATATTTATGTACACAAACATTTTTTGCTCCCAGAAAACCTAGCAGAAATCTTTTTTTAAAATCACTGAAACAACCAGACCAGATAATTAGTGATTAGGATAAAAAATTCTATAAGAAATCAATTATATATGTGTGTGTATGTATGTGTGTATACATATATATATACACACACACATATATATATACATATATAAACACATGTTTATACATGTCACCTCTCACACATGCATGCACACACACACACACACAGTAGACACATACAATCAACAGAAGCAATTTTGGGAAAACATTAAAATAAACTTCTTTTACCGTTTGTCCTAAAGACGGCAGCACTGATTTATCCACTTCCCTCTCTTTACAATTGAGACCTAAAATCTTTATCACATAGTATTTCAGCATCTGGTCCATGAAGAAAGGAAATGACACATTTGTGTGTTGAAAATTTTTCTTAACAATGCATTTCAATAGTACTCTCATCAGTGCACAAGTTTGCAAAATCTAAATTTGTAAGATAACTCATTCCTCTTCCCATTTAGGACATTACAAAAGAAAAGAGAAGTAAAAGGAAAAAGAAACAAGGGTTATGGTTAACAAGATACATGATGTGTGGCAGATTAATTTTTCCCTTTTTATAAAATACGTATGCCTTTTATAACATTATCACTATTATTTTTGTTTAATCTCACTGTCTTCTATTAATTCTAATTATCTCCTCTTTCATATTCTACATGAGGGAAGACTCCATGTTTAAGTAATTTTTAGTTCACCCTCTTTCCTGTAACTCTCACCTCGAGCTTCAAACACAAAACATATGAGGGAAGGAATATGGACACCTACTAAGTAAAAGTAATCGACCAATAATGCTCACTTCAGCTCTATCTATAGTGATGTTAACATTATTTATAGATCTCTTTTGAGCACCTAACAAGTTGTTGATTTCCCCAGGAGTGCAGTGAAGCAAAGAGGTCTCACACATGGGTTCCAGGAACAAACTGCCTTCACCTTCTACCGCCCAGTCAGCATTTCTGCTATGCATCTCACTTAATCACAAATCCCAGAACACACATAAAAGCATACACCATTCCATTAATGGATTAATTTTTAGATCTAATTCCTCTGGGGGAGAGTGCTTCTTTATGTTTCATGGAAACTTCTTGGTGCTCCCAAAAGGGAGGGATCATACTTCCTAACAAAAGACCGCCAAAATGGCCTTGCCATGATGCCCGTGGACACCAAAGAACTCTAGCTCAGAAGGCAACAGGCCTGGTGGAAAGAATGCAGGTGCAGGAACAGTACACGGTGTTTGGGAGACAGAAATTAACAGTGTCATAACAGCCATTCATTCTTAAAGGCTAACAGTAACCGTAACAGAGACATTTAATCAAGCAGCAAAGCCACTTAGCCAGGTAGCTTTAGACAAGAAGTTAGGATCGCAGACATGGATGGTGGTTAGGCTACTCCCTAACCACGTTAGTTTAAATTTATCACCAAATTCTCAGGGAAGAAGAACTGGAGGTGAACATCAGAACTCACTCTATTTCCTTTATAATCATTTGTAAATACATCGTTTTATAGAATACGGTCCTTTTGGCATCTTTAAAAAAATCTGCAGTTTAAGAACTCCTTTGTATATTGTTAAATTTATGTGCCCCTGTCAACACTATGTGACTAGAAGTCAGACTCTGGGAATAGCAGGCTAAGATCAACTTTCCAAAATTCTATGCTAATGAGATTTATTTCTGTCAGAGTGGACTGTATTTCTGGGATGTCTCTATAATATTGATATGTATGCATTTTTACTGCCATAATGCTAACCACTTCTCTATTTGATTCCTTCCACAATCTTCAGCCAGACTCTGTGTTTGTATATATACATACACGCAAATATATATATATGTACATATATATATATGTACACATACACATATGACCCTTGAACAAAATGGCTTTGAATAAAATGGGTTCCTTCATACATGGATTTTTTTCAATAAATGAGGTATAGTACTATAAATGTATCTTTCTTCCTTATGATTTTAATATTTCCTTTGTTCTAGCTTACTTTATTGCCAGAATACAGTATATAATACATATAACATACAAAATATGTGTTAATCAACTGTTTGTGTTATTGGTAAGTCTTTGGTCAACAGTAGGCTATTAGTGATTAAGTGTTGGGGGAGTCAAAACTTATATGTAGATTTTCAAGTGAGGGGGGTTTGGAAAGTCGGTGCCCCTAACCCCTACATCATTTAAGGGTGAACTATATATATGCATATATTAATCTTATACTATATTACATATTCGCTATTAGGGCTTACTCTATGTATGATGTCTCCTCAGAGGATCAGGTGGAAAATGTTCAGTCAAGCTAATGATTGACTGAAAGAACAGAAGGAATGTCCAGGAGTCGGGCTTAACATTCATCATTCCATCTGATTCCGCAGTAACTTTGTCAGGTGGTTTTCCCAATTAAGAAATTGGGCCTTAGAGATATTAAGTAAACTTGTGAAGATCACAGAACTATGAGTCACCTGAGCTGGTATTTAAACCAAATTAAGTCTGATTTCAAAACTAGGCAAAATAGACATTTTTGTCTTCATTTTCTCGGTGTATGTATTATCAGGGGTCTTTATCACAAATGTTATATGGAAAATAAACCACAAACATGGGTCCAGACCAGACCATCTACATAGTGGCTTTACTATCAGCTGGGGGTTGCTTATGAACATACGTATCTAGTGTGAAGGCTATATAATATTAAGCCAATATTCAAATAAAGTCTTACAATTAAATAGAAAAATCGACTTAAGTCTCATGGGCCCAAGCTATACCACAGATTTATGTGATCAATTTGCAAAGATATCATTTTTTTCTTATTCAGAACCCAAAGCAGCGATTTAAATACAATAATGTTGCAATGGACACATCTCTCCATGTGAATATAACGCATTTATAGAACTATCATACCTCATCCAAACGGATATTGAAAACTTTCATTCCAGCAGACTTTTGTTTGATGATTATAAACAGAAAAAAAAAAAAACCCTTGATGTTATCAGTAACATTTTAAATAACTTTATATAAACAGAAATTTTCTACAGAAGTCCTCATTAAAGTTAAAATGGACTAAGTCATTGGTTTAACCACACCATCTTCAAGTCCTAGTGTTGGTCAAAGTTTTAGGATATTGCAGGAATTTTAATTTAGTTTACAAACGCACCGTATTTCCATAGCTGGTTAGGAGCCGTACACCCATGCAATTTAGGTCTAAATTTCTGTTTCTGTTTTAACATAAAATTACAATAAAACAATATATCAACACTCAGTGAGGTGGAGGGACCAATATATTTACTTTCCTTTGAGAATGCACTTTACCACACTGTTCGTTTTTAAGGGAGGGCATGATAGTCTTCTAGGTCCAGCCTCAATATCCAAAGAGCTTCGAATGCAGGTCCCTACACCAAGGAAGAAGCCAAAGGAACTGAAAATCAATGACTTTTCACGGAGCCCTCAGAGGATTGAGGTCCTGGGGCAAACTCCCACCCACATTTTAGAGAGGTAAATACAGAAACTCGCAGCTTACCTGGAGCAAAGGCCGCTGGATCCAACAATAGTGAGGACACTTAAGTGGCAATTTTGACAAACTGTTGGAGGACTAGTGAGGGCTGGTGTCAGAGGCTCCCGGGGCTGCGGTCTTAGTGGACCCCTGCAATTCTCTGGGCTTTGCCTCCAAGAACGCCCCTCAGGTTCTGGGAATGGAGAGCCAAGGAGAATCACCTGGTGCCTCAGGCAGAGGGAGGGGGGAAAAGTAACCATTTTAAAACACACCCAGAAGCATTCTCCACAATAAAGGCTTTATTAGAAACTTATCTCACCTGGGAAGGCTGAAGGGCAATTACCCAACTCCAGCTTCTTCCGGTCCATTTTAAGGGGGAGGGGGGAAGCTAAGAAACCAAGTTATCAACATGGTTTGGGCCTGGGATTTAGTCCTGGATTACGGAACACTTCCCTCCGCCCTACCTCACCACCCAGCGACGTGGCTCCCGTATGATAATAGTGAATTATGGCTGAAAGAACTTCAAAGTTCTTTTTAAAGGGAAGTTTGTAGGGAAAGACAGCTCAGATGCAGCAAATACTCAGCCCAACCAAATTCCTAGCCAGGTCATCCTAAAAGCTCACACTACCAGGCCTATTAGCCTCGGTTCCTGTTACGTGATATATCATCTCTAACTTTCAACACAAAATTAAAAGACAGGCTAAAAGTCAAGAAAGTGCATGCCAGGTCCTAAAAGTCACACAGTCCTTGGGTAGCTAGGGAAGTGGACGGGATAGAGTGTGCACAAAATACTAGTGACTAATTTCCTGGCCATCTCAGCTGTCTCCCCAATGCAACATTAACAAGTCACCCTTTCCTCGTGATTCATGTCTTAATGACACAGAGATATCGGCTAAGAAAACAAGTAAATGTGAGCTCATTTTTAAGTGATATTTTAAAAACACAAATGCACATTGCCTGGGGTTTAGGGAAGCGTGGCTTTAGAATTAAAGTGGCAAACCCATGAGATTTAAATAGGTTTAAAAGTGGTAAAAGTGTTTGGTGCCTAAGTGGTCCAGTCAGTTGAGCCTCCAACTCTTGATTTTGGCTCAGGTTACGATTCCAGGATCGCGGGATCAAACCTCGCTTTGGGCTTCATGCTTAGTGTGGAGACTGCTGAAGAGTCTCTCCTTATGCCCTGCGCTCGCACGCTCTCTCCAAAATGGAAAAAAAAAAAAAAAAGAGTGGTGGAAGTGTCAACTTAAGCCTGAGCAAAGTTCATTAAACAAATTCTTACCCAGAAGTCTCCTGGCATTGTCGAGATGTGAGCCCACACACTCTACAAGAGAACAGGATTTGTACCTCAGCCAAGGGAATTATAGCAAGGTGGATACTTACTGTACAGCAATTTCTCATGTTCCATAGCCTTTTTATAGAGTGAAACGTTTCCAATTTAAAATGCAGAACTTAAAGACTGTTCAAAAATATTTCTAGGGGCATCCGGCTAGTGACAGAACACAAACAAGCATCTATATTCTCTGATGTTCTTTCCACTGTACCACAAAGATCCTTCACTTTTGTGAACACACATAATTGCTTTTCTATACATCTTCATTTTCTTCCATTATATCTTCAGACGCTATTGCTGATGATTTCCAGAAGTGCTTCCAAAGCGCTTCTGCTCTTTTGCTGTTTGATCTCCCTACAACATGGCTGCCAAAGAATGAAGATCTCTTTGTCTTTCACCTTTCACATCTCTTGAGAGCACCACAAACCCTAGCCAGGAGCCATATGGGGAAGGTGATTTTAAGCAGTGTAGTTTCTGGCATCTCCTCTGGGGCACAGAGAAGACAGTAACAATGGGGAGGGGGTCATGCGTGGTAGTATAGTGTCACAAGGCAAAAACAACACTGCGGACCCACTTAGTCTGGCTACACCTACCATCCGAAAAAGGAGGAGAAGCTGAATTGCTGAAAAGAAAGACCTTCACAGGGGAGATTGTGCATTCAAATGACCGAGGAAGATAAGAACAGGAAAAACATCAAAAACGAGACAAGGCCAATGTGGGTGGGGTGAAAAAAAGCGGAAGGTGGCAAGCAAGGTTCCAGAGAGTTAGGTAGGAGGCCGGCGGGTGGAGGAGGTTTTCTTTATCTTAAGAGCAGTGGAAAGACATTCATTTTGTGGTGGGATGAATAAGACACATTTGGATTTTGAAAATTGCCTCTGCCACGTGGACAACAACTTGAAAGTGGGAAGTTTGAGCACATGTCGACAAGTTAGAAAGTTAGTGCAAAAGTTCAGGGGAAGGTGATGACAGCTTGGACGTGTTGGTGTCAGTGGTGATGGGGAGGAGTAGACAGAGATATATTAAAAGGCAAATGTAATGGGACTTGAAAATGGACTTGATGGTGAGAGATGGTGGGCCTGAGCTTTTCTCATGTACAACTACAGACCCACTCCCCTTCTATTTCCCCCAAGAGCCTATCCTCCTTATACGGAAACAAATGGCTTCTTTGACCCCTGGCTTTTGATGAGGTTGGGCAGGTGGGTAGCCCGGCAGATTCATGAAAGAACGGAGTTAGTTAGCTCTTCATATTAATGGTCCAGAAATGAAATAAATACTGATTGTCTAGGAATGTTGAATGGCCTCCTAAGGAGCTACATGACCTATACAAGCAGAAAATTTCTTAGTCTGCTAGGCATAAACCTAGGGATTTTAATGTCTTAGCCAGCTCAACAACTATGATAGTTAACAAAAGTCCACTACTTTTTAAACGATGGGTCCCTTGAGAAACAATCCAGAAACCTGGTCATAGGACTTGGGGCAAGCAGAATAATGGCCTCCCCCGGAAAGATATCCACATCCTAATTCCCGGAACAATGTTATATTACAGGGTAAATGGGAATTAAGATTGCTAATTAGCTGACCTTCAAATGAGACGAATCTGGATTATCTGAGTGGGTTTAGTGTGATAAGCAGGATCCTTAAAAGTAGAGAAGGGAAGCAGAAGAAGAAAATCAGAGAAAGTGTTGTAATGGTGGAAGAATGGCCAGAAAGACACAGGGTTGCTGGCTTTGATAATGGAGGCAGAAGGTCTTGGGCTAAAGACTGGGGGTGCCCCCTAGCAGTTAAAAAAGGCCAGGGTATATGGGTGCCTGGGTGGCTTAGTTGGTTAAGCCTCTGACTCTTGATTTCAGCTCAGGTTGTGATCTCACAGTCATGAAATCGAGCCCTGCATTGGGCTCTGCGCTGACAGCACGGAGCCTGCTTGAGATTTGCCTCTGTCTCTCTCTGCCCTTCCACAGTGCACTCTCTCTCTAAATAAAATAAACCTTTTTTTTTTTTAAAGGCAAGGTCATAAATTTTCCCCTAACGTGTCCAGAAAGTAATGCAGCCCTGCTGGCAGTGTGGTTTCAGCCCACATTGCCATTTAGCCCATTTAGACATTAAAATCCCTAGGTTTCTGCCTAGCAGACTAAGAAGTTTTCTGCTTATGTAGGTCATGTAGCTCCTTAAGAGGCCACTCAACATTCCTAGACTATCAATATTTATTTCATTCCTGGACCATTAATATGAAGAGCTAACTAACTCTCCTTTCTTTCACACATCCATTTTGGACATCTAACCTATAGAACTGTAAGAAAATAAATGTGCATTCTTTTGAGCCACTAAGTTTGTGTCTGTTATTCCAACAGTAGAAAACGAATACAGGACTGTGTTAGTTTGCTAAGATTGCCATAACAAAAGACCACACTGGGTGGCTTAAACAGTAGAAATTTACTTCTCACAGTTCTAGAGGCTGAAGTCTAAGATCAAGGCGTTGGTAGGTTTGATTTCTCCTGAGGTCTCTCTCCTTTTGGTTCTTTTTCACATGGTCATCCCTTGGTGCTTACACTGCCCTTGATATCTCTTTAAGTGTTCAAGTTTCCATTAGTCATGTTGGATTTTTAACTTAAAAAGGCCGCTTTTTAACTTAATTACCTCTTTCGAGGATCTATCTCCAACTATAGTCACATTCTCAGGTATGAGGGCTTAGGGCTTCAATTTATGAATTTTAGGAGAACACAATTCAGTTAATAACAACAACTATATCATAAACCTCCCTTGACGCCCTCTCCAGAGGGTCCTGAAGCAATATACTAAGGTGACTTACCAGAGCTTGTTAAATAGAGGCTCAGAATTCATGCCACTTTGTGTGCCTATGGACTGTCGTGACCCAAGTTCATCTCATAGTAGATACTATAGGACTACAGATCTACCCTGTGGTTATTTCCTCAGATATAAAATGTGTATTGAAAATAGATACATTAAACATTTGGCAGAATCCATATTTATTCATCTGTGGGGTAAAAACTCTCATGGCAGAAAGGGTCAAATAGAAGCCTTAGAGACTTCTCCCTTTCCACCAGGATGGTAATCCAAAAGCCATTCCAGACCCTTGGGAAGACTAGTGAGATCAGGGCACAATCAAATATTAATGCTGCAAAGCAGTGATTTCGGGAGAGTGACATGTGAATGAAATTTTCAGAATGAGCAAGGGCATGAAAACATTCATTTCCCACGTAAATGTCCACTAGAGGGCATCCACCATGGTGGTCCAATGATCTGGTTAACAAGATGACTTTCTTTGGTGAAAGTCAATCAGCTTTTTCCTCCAGTCACTGTATACACAAAGTAAAGCAACAGAGATGGAAGTGACTCATGGGCTGAACAACATGAGCTTTCTCTCAACGGGGCTGCTCTGGATACTGCTGCTGCTGGGTTTTTGGTATGTCAACAGCAGATGCAAACACTGAAGCATCATGATATGGCCCAACCAGTCATGTGAGGGCACCTTGATCCCACTGGATCTCTTCCAGAGAGGAATGTCCAATCTCACTGGGATAAATTGTTTAGGATGTGGAGTTTCCTCTCCTGCTTTCAGCATCTCTCTGAGTACCAAGTCAGCAGATACACTGGATCCCTTATTCCACGCTAATGTATACCACGCAATATTGCTTCTGACCAAGGAGCATATTTTATGAATGGTTCCAAGTTTAAAGGCTTCAGGAATGAGCTCTGATTGGCTAAGTTTGGTGAGGAGCCTGTTGCTAGACCAATCACTCTTGTCTAAAGGTGGGGTTTTGTAAGACGATCTCTCACAAAAAAATGGATGGTTGGATTGGGAGAAGGAATATGTCTCAGGTGTGTTAGTAGAGGGGACACTTCAGCAGTAATGTTCTGTGCTCCTAAGTCTCATATTAATCTGTCACTTGACTTTTCATCTCTTTGTCCTATTTTCCAAACAGAATAAATAAAGGCATGCATATCCTCAATGTATTTTAAAGTGTTGATAATATGTCACATTTATACATTCTTTAGGGCATAAA